ATTGTCCTCTGACCTACACACACACACACACACACACACACACACACACACACACACACACACGAGAGAGAGAGACAGACAGACAGACAGACAGACAGACAGACAGACAGACTACTAGAGATGTGGCCCAGCACAAGGGAAAGGACCAGAGTTCAGATCCCAGCACCGTGTAAAAGCCGAGCATGGTGGTGTGCTTTGTCGGCCGTCACTGGGAAAGCAGAGGCAGCAATTCTGCGTTCCCAGCAGCCCTGCGTGAGGGTGCTGATTACTCCCAATCCTTGCCGACACTTGTTGCTGTCTGTCACTTTGATCTTAGCCGTCCCAGTGTGTGTGAGCCTGTCGACTTGTTCTAACTGGCTTTCCCCGATCGATCGTGAGCCAGCCCCATGCTGGCCGCTGTCAGTCCTCTTTGGAGAGAAGTCTATATGCACCGTTTTGTTCACTGTTGACCCGACCTGAGAGCTGACGGGTGTGCAGAGTGGGCGTGCAGCACATTGGATTCTGCAGTGTCCTCTGGCCCAGCCCTTTCCCAGGGGGGGCTGACGGTCTGCTCTCCCTCCATCAGATCCTGGACTCGGAGCTCTTCGAGCTGATGCATCAGAATGGGGACTACACCCACTTCTATTTCTGCTACCGTTGGTTCCTGCTGGATTTCAAACGAGGTACGGACCGCCACCCACGGGCTCGTCCCCGGAGTCCTTACAGTAGGATTTCTGGGGTGGCTATGATGGGAAGTGGAGGCTGAAGAGGACACGGGAATGAAGGGCACCGGGGTAAAGGCGGCAGAAGAGAGAACATCGTGGGGATGTATTGTGTACCCCAATAAAGTTTACCTGGGGATCAGAGGACAGAGCCAGCCACTAGCTTGCCTCTACGAAATCCTCAGCCTCAAGACAGCGAGTCCCTGTTTCCTTGTGTCTTATATATTGGAGTACACAATATATCACCACAGAACATTTGCACAGTCCATTTTGGCACATGCCTTACCACAAAATGGCTATGCAGTAGGAGCCATAAAATCCCTGTTTCAGGGCCTTGGGAGATATCCCAGGCAATAAAGTACCTGAACAAGCATAAGGTCCTGAGTTCAGATCCCAGCATGCAAATAAAAAGCCAGGCATGCCGGCTGTTGGGACGGTAAAGGCACTTGCCACCGAGCCGGATGACCTGAGTTTGATCCTTGGAACCTATTTGGTTAAAAGAGAGAACCTACTCCTGCAAGTTGCCCTCTGACCCCCACACATGCGCTGTGCTGTGTGTCCCCCTAACTTAATAATTTAAAAAATTTGGAAAGCCAAGTGCAGCCATGCATGTGGCATGTCTGTGATTCAGTGCTGGGGAGGCAGATGCAAGGTGGCCACAAGAGCTTGCTGGCCAGCCAGCCCAGCCAGCCCAGCCAAACCGGTGAGCTCTGGGCTCCGTGAGGTGGAGGTCAATAGAGAAGGACATTGACATCAACATCTCACCTCCACAGACATGCACATACAGTTGCACATGAACACACACACACACACACACACACACACACACACACACACACACACACTCATAGATGAGGAAACTTAAGAAGTCAAATATGGAGCTAGGAATAGGGGAGCCAGGGCCCAAGCTTGGTTCTGTCCCTCTCTGGGGCCGAGTCCCTCCCACCTGCCTTCCTGTTCAGCAGAGACCAAGAACAATTCAGTTGAGGGGACTTCAAGCATATTTCATGATGGACCTAGGAGGGATGTCCCCTCTGAATGCATGCCATCATGCAAACCTGGGATGGGGCTGGGAACACTTGATCTGTGTGGCAGTGTTAACCACCTGCCCCGCGCTGTGCAGTACCACTGACCACGGCATCTCTGCTCCTTTGCTGTGACCAGCAGGTAGGTCCCATGCAAAGGTGAGGTGTGGAGAGGCTGGAAAGGGACAGCACCAGCCCGCAGCCCCTGGCTGGTTAGTGAAGGGTTGGGACCCAATGCCAGCCTACTGGACTTGGTAGTCTTGCTCTTAAGGCAGGGGCTCTCGACATGTGGGTTGTGACCCCTATGGGGTTGATCGACCCTTTTACAGGGGTTGCCTAAAACATCTGAAAACATATTTCCAATGGTTTTAGGAACTGGAGAAGCAATCTCAATCTTGGCACTGATGCTGATTTTTTTTTTTTTTTGTGCATACTGTTGCAAAATGTAGCCATGTAGGTTTACTGTTGTTACATTAACACTGCTACCCATGCTACACTGTGCTTCAAGATAAAATTTCATCTATTTGTAGTTAGAAACAAGTATTTCACAAAATATAATTACATACTGTTTTGTGATTAATCACTATGCTTTAATTATGTTCAATTTGCATGTTCAATACACATCCTGTATATCAGGTATTTACATCACAACTTTTTTTTTTTTAAGATTTATTTATTTATTATGTGTACAGCATGTATGACTGCAGGCCAGAAGAGGGCACCAGATCTCGTTACAGATGGTTGTGAGCCACCATGTGGTTGCTGGGAATTGAACTCAGGACCTCTGGAGGAGCAGTCAGTGCTCTTAACCTCTGAGCCATCTCTCCAGTCCTACATCACAACTTATAACAATAGCAAAATTACAGTTATGAAGTAGCAACAAAAATAATGGACAGGTGTCACCACACCACGAGGAACTGTATTAGAAGGTTGCAGCATTAGGAAGGTTGAGAACCACTGTCTTCACGGCTCTTCCATCGCCCTGAGGCAGCAGCCAGCCTGCCTGTGTACTCGGCCACTGAGAGCCACACATGAACACGGCTGAAGGAGAGGAAAGACAGCAGTGTGGGCAGGTCAGAGACAGGTCCCTGGCAGTCAAACCCACACCTCCTCAGATTCCTCACACAGGCACCTTAGACCAAGTCCATAAATGGGGAAACTCGGGCTTTGAGGGTCGGGTGGCAGGGTCTGAGTGTCTTGCCACCCAGCCTGAAGTCTACCTGCTGCATGAGCGCAGGGCTGGTCTGGGACTGTCACCTAAGGAAGTGGGACACTTGCAGGGAGGACAGGTCCTGCACCCTGTCCTGGACCAGATCCTAAGCTCATGTGTGTCGTGTCCCACAGAGCTGGTCTATGATGACGTTTTCTCCGTGTGGGAGACTATCTGGGCAGCTAAGCACGTGTCCTCTGCCCACTATGTGCTGTTCATCGCGCTGGCCCTGGTGGAGGTCTACCGAGACATCATCCTGGAGAACAACATGGACTTCACAGACATCATCAAGTTCTTCAACGGTACCAAGGGGCGGGACTGGGCACGGGACTGGGAGGTGGGGCTCCCCAGGTACGGGGCTCCAGATGCCAGCAGCTTGACAGGCCCCAGTCATTCCCCTGCCTCCACCCTGCTGCCTCCACAGCTCACCAGGGCATGCACATAACACTTGAGTGCTGGGGCCTGAACCCATGTTCTCCGCTTGCACAGCAAGTGCCCTTACCCACTGAGCCTCTCCCCAGTCCTCTGTGCCCCCTTAGTGCCATATCAAGGGACCTGCTGGGATCTCAACATGCTCCAGTCCAGGTGCTTTTCTCCATGCTGAGGTTCGGGGGCAGCACCTGGCTCTGCCACTGGTTAGCTGTGCCCAGTGACAAGGTACTACCCTACCTCTGAATATCTACTTCATCCATGAAATATCAAGGTCTGCCCCACAGGAGATCATGGGTAGGGAAAGCGGGCAGAGGGATGCTCTTGGAGTGACAAGAAATAGGTGCTTAGAGTTTGGTCCCAGCCGGCCACCGGGTGTGGCCTTGTCTAAATGACAAAGTCATGTTCTGGGCCTTAGTTCTTTAGGGGAAAAATGCTGCAAACACCTCTTCCCTCAAGGGAAGTCCCAAGAATTAATGACGAGATATGGAAAAGCCCTTCACGGGTACCTATCCCCGGGAGGGGCCCAATAAGCAAGGCAATTGCTGGCGTTATTGCCACTTAAAGGGTAATTAAATGCTAAAAACGGGCTGATTTGCAGCTCCATCACAGAGCACAGGCAAACACGAGGCTCTGGGCTTCACCCCTGGCATCTCACCCCAAAACTTAAAGACCAAAGGAGGTTCCAGAAGGAGAAGAAAACCACCCGCGACCTACCTCAGCCACATTGCTAGATCTCTTTCAAGTCAGCTTTTTCTCTTGGAGTAAGTTTGGATTTTAGTCATCTACTAAAATTTTAAATTTAGGACTTTTTTTTAATCTATTAGGAAAGTTATAGATATGAAACCAAGTGGTGTCATTTCTTAGTGTCCTTCATTTCTGTTGCTGATTTACGTGTTTCTGGAATGTTCGACACCAAAACTAAGAAATTAACATTGGCAGACTTTGTGAGTTTCACCAGCACCAGAAACCAACCAGGAAGCCACAGAGATTGAGTGCAGTTGTTAAACAAACAAACAAAAGCAGTCCCTGGGCTGGGGATGTGACTCAGTTGATTGTTTGCAGTGTGTGAGAAGCCCAGCACCACCACACCCAAACAAACCGGGTGTGGCAGTGCAGCCGGGAAACAAACACAAGAAGGTCTGAAGTATTGTATTTTCATTATCTGTGTAGCTTTGTTGCCTTTCCTGGAACTCTCTCTGTAGACCAGGCTGGCCTCGAACTCACAGAGATCCACCTGGCTCTGCCTCCCGAGTGCTGGGATTAAAGGTGTGCACCACCAATGCCTGGCAAGCCATTTTTATTTCTCCTCTTGAGAACTCTCTGTGCAGGTCTAAGCCCCCTTTTTTAATTAATCAGATGAATTAGTGGCGAAGACTCCCTCCTACTCTGCGGGCTGCTTCTTCACTCAGTGGTTGTTTTCTTGGCTGTACAGAAGCTTTTCAGTTTCAGGAGGTCCCACCTGTCAATTGTTGACCTTAATTCTTAAGCAAATGGAGTCCTGTTCAGGAAGTCCTTTCTTTCTTTCTTTTTTTTTTTTGGAGCTGAGGATTGAACCCAGGGCCTTGTGCTTGCTAGGCAAGGGCTCTGCCACTGAGCTAAATCCCCAACCCCAGGAAGTCCTTTCATATACCTATATTCTGTAGAGGACTGACTATGCTTTCTTCTAGCAGTTTTGGTATTTCAAGCTTTACACTGAAGTTTGTCTTAGTTAGGGTTTCTTTTGCTGTGATGAAACACCAAGACCAAAGCAACTTGGGGAGGAAAGGGTTAATTCAGCTTATGGTCCTACAGCACAGTCCATCACTGAAGGAAGTCAGGACAGGAACTCAAGCAGGGCAGGGACCTGGAGGCAGGAGCTGATGCAGAGGCCATGGATGGGAGCTGCTTACTGGTTTGCTCCTCAGGGTTTGCTCCCCATGGCTTGCTCAGCCTGCTTTCTTACAAAACCCAGGACCACCAGCCCAGGGATGGCACCACCCACAGTGGGCTGCCCCCCCCCCCATTGTGGTGATTTAAAAGAAAACGGTCCCCAAAGGGAGTGGCACTATTAGGCGTGGCTTTGTTGGAGTAGGCGTGGCTTCGTTGGAGTAGGCGTGGCTTTGTTTGAGTAGGCGTGGCCTTGTTGGGGGAAGTGTGTCAGGGTGGGGGTGAGCTTTGAGGTCTCCTTTGCTCAAGCTGCTCCCAGTGTCACAATCCACTTCCTGTTGCCTTCTGATCAAGAGGCAGCCAGCACCATGTCTGCCTGCACGCTGCCACGCTCCCCACCATGATAATGGACTGAACCTCTGAACTGTAAGCTACCACCCCAATTACATGTTTTCCTTCATGGCCACAGTGTCTCTTCATAGCAATAGAAACCCTAAGACACCCATCCATCACTAATTAAGAAAATGCCTTACAGGCTTGCCTACATCCTGATGTTATGGAGGCACTTTCTCAGTCGAGGATGCCTGTAGCTTGGGTCAAGTTGACATAAAAGTATCCAGCACAAGGTCTTTGATCCATTTGAAGTTAGTTTTGTGCAGGGTGATTGATATGGTTCTAATTTCGTTCTTCTGCATATGGACACCCAGTTCTCCCAGGGACATGGATTGAAGACACTCTTTTCCCCGATGTATGCTTTTGGGTCTTTGTCAATTATCTTACATGGCTGGAGATATTTGCTGTCATGCCTGGGTCTTCTGTTTTGTTCCATTTTTTTCAAGACAGGACCAAGCTGTTTTTATTACTGTGGCTCTGTAATATATTCTGAAACCTGAATGTTAATCCACCTCCCCCCTCCCAGCATTGTTCCTTCTGATCTGGGTCGCTTTGGCTATCCAGGGACTTTGTGGTTCCTTGTGGGTTTTAGAATGTTTCTTTCCACTTTTGTGAAGAATGGGATGGGGGTTTGGATTGGGATTTCACCGAATCTGTAAACTGCTCTTGTTAAAGGTGTCATTTTCACAGTGTTGATTCTACTAATCCAAGAGCATGGGGGAGAGGTCTTTCAGTTTTCTGGGGTCTTTCTCAGCCTTTCTTCAGAAGTTTAAAGAGCTTTGTTGTAGAGGTCCTTCACCTGTTTGGTTAGGTTTATTCCCGGATATTTGACTTTCTTTGAAGCTGTTGTCAGGGGGAGTGTGTCCATGATCTCTTTCAGCTCTCAGCGTATTTGCTGTAGGAAGGCTGCTGATGCTGTAAGTTCATTAGGTGTCCTGCCACATTGCTGAAAGTGTTGATCATCTCTAGAAGTTTTGTGGTAGGATGTTTAGCATGTCTTATATACAGTGCCGCGTCATCTGCAAATAGGAATAGTTGGACTTCTTTTTTGTTTGTTTGTTTGTTTTTTGAGACAGGTTTTCTCTGTGTAGCCCTGGCTGTCCTGGATCTCACTCTATAGACCAGGCTGGCCTCAAACTCACAGAGATCCACCTGCCTCTGCCTCCCGAGTTCTGGGATTCAAGACATGTGCCACCACTGCCTGGCTTAGTTTGGCTTCTTTAGTTTGTGTCCATTTACTTTCCTTCTCTGGACTCTTACCCCAGCTAGTGCTTAAAGTACACATCGAAAAAGAGTGGGGAAGCCAGG